GATCGCTTGGCGGAGAGTGAAACTCTGATGCGCTCAGTCAGAGAGTGTTCGGCGAGTGAAAATATATCTGAGCTAAACTTATACTTAGCCTCCAACTCACACTGGCGAGTGAAATCTGAGAATTTATTAGCCATTGGCTAATATTAGACATTTAGTCGCCCAGAGTGAAGATTTAGTCGCACGTGCGAGTGATTTACTCGCAATGTAGAGGGCTGTAATAGCCTAATTATAATAGGCCGCCTAATAATAATAATAATAATAATAATAATAATAATAATAATAATACTACAAAAAAAAAAAAACAGGAAGAGATCTGGTAACGTTAGCCTATAACCCGCTGCGCTAGTCACAGCCAATAAATACAGCATCATCTTTTCTATATTTTGGCCAAATGTAGGCTACTAAACAAAAAGAAAAAAAAACTATCAACACTTTAAAGACATTAAAGTATTTTTAAGATATTTAAAAATGTTTGCTGCATTGTTAAAAAAAATGCTACTTGTATAAGATTGCGTTTTGAGAGTGAAAAAAAAAAAAACATAAGTAGCGTATAGGCTCACGTAGCATTTTATTAGCCCTAGCCTATTACATTCAGAAATAATGTAGGCAAAAATGTTAAGGCTATGCATTTAGGCTATAAAAACGTCAATCCAAAAACAAATTCATTTAAGGTGAAACTGATGCCTACTTCTCTCATTCGGCACAAATCCAAATGTTTCCATATTCGCGACGTATCTGGATACTAAAATATTATTTATTATAGGCTAGGCTTTGTACATTCATCGCCGTAAAACATCATCCTTTACATCGGCTATATTAGCACAGTGAGGCGGTGGTCACGTTGAACGCAACAGATTTTGTACAACGGAGCAGTCAGTGGTGTAGTGGAGGGTATACGGCGTAAACCCACTTCTTTATCAGTCGGCTTTGTGTATATACCCACTTCTTAATCCCCTCTGATGTGCATCATTCATTAGTGTCCTGCATTAGCCAAAATCATGACAGTCCACCATGACTAGCTAATCAAAATCGCATGTAAATAAATGCCAATATTCCCTAAACACACCCAGAAGACAACGATGCGGTCAGGATTCCCTTTAAATTTGATTGATTGCGCCCGCCTCTCATCTCGACAAATCACGTGAATGCAAGTGGAGTCGGTCTGGGGCGTGAGTGCATGTCAGGGGAGGCGCGAAGAGTGATAAAATAATATTAAATTGACTACTAATTTGAATCGGTACATTATAATGAAAACAATACCTTAAAAAGGGAAAGCAGCATGTTTTTGAGATCAGATTTTTTAAACCGGTAAACTCCTGTAAACGTTTCAGTCCAAGGATCCAGTAAACGAATGCCTTCAAACAGTAGCCTAAGTCTACAGAGAAAACCCGACCGGTTTCATTAGAGATTTCTTAGAGTCACGTCCAGAATTATTCTTTTCAGCGTGTATTTGGCTTAAAAGTACGAGTATCCAGTAAATGAATGCCTTCAAACAGTAGCCTAAGTTCAAAACAGCTACAGAGAAAACCCGACCGGTTTCATTAGAGATTTCTTAGAGTCACGTCCAGAATTATTCTTTTCAGCGTGTATTTGGCTTAAAAGTACGAGTGTTTTATAATGGACGCTGCTGAAGCCTGAAGATGTTTTTTAGATTCTGAATGGATCCGTATAGTAGCCTGTACAGTCAGGTCAAGGCAGTAGGTTTAGTGATCTTTTGGCGTCTCCTTGTGGTCCTGTTTGATATCGCAGCTTCACTAGTGCTAAATTGTATTAAAAATGCTCTAAACAATTTTATTATATATATATATTTTTATTTATTTTTATTTTTTTTTTTGCTCTATATAGTATAGCCTATACATAAATTGTAAAAGGTATGGGGGAGTAGGCAGAAGGTTACTATTTGCCCGTCACTGTATGCCATGGAAGAAACAGTCAGTCAAACATAGGAGTAGGCCGCACAATTTAAAAAAAAATTGTTTGGTATCAAATAGAGATCATGATCCTCCTACAGATAACTAAACAAAATAGCTTGTCTACTAGAGGCTCTGACAAAATGTTAATTGTTGCAGTCTATGTAATTTTTACATTTTAATTATTTATTGCAAAATCTGCACCTCTTTTGTGGCTAATATTATTTTCATAATGATCCTTACTCCGTGAAGTCAAGTAGCAGAAGTTACAGTAAGTGAAAATGGTCTTTTTTTATTTGGGCTAGTTAAATTAATTTTCGGGCTACCAGGGATTTTGAAATTTTGCGAGCCCTGTCATGATTCTCCTACAGATAATGAAACAAAATAGCTTGTCTACTAGAGGTTCTGACAAAATGTTAATTGTTGCAGTCTATGTAATTTGTTACATTTTAATTATTTATTGCAAAATCTGCACCTCTTTTGTGGCTAATATTAATTTCATAATGATCCTTAACTGTTATTTTAAATGGTACTCATTTCATAATATTACTGTTTTTGGAGGCATATTTTACATAAGTCTTCTTTTTTCAAAAACATTAAAATAATCTTACTGACCTGTACCTTGTGGCTACAGTAGTACTGCAGTATGTTTCATCAAACTTCAAAATATTTCTGCCTAAGGTCTTTTTTGACATGTTCGAATTCAATAGCCTCAGGCCAACAACCTTTTTAAAGGGGTCCTATTATGCTTTTTCACTTTTTTAATTTTAAGAGCTGCTGCAGAGTTGACAATAACGAAGAAGAGCTGCTGTGCTGTAGCGTCAAATTTTCAGCATGTCTAGAACAATTCTTACAAGTATAACACGACGTAGCTGGGCGCCGCCGACAGACGCCGAACGGCGCTGCCGGTGTGCCTACACTCATAGAAAATAATATATTAGAATTTTAAAGACGTGGCGCGACGCTGCACTTCTCGTCCGGTGTGCGGCCGCCTGAAATGCTGTTTTTTTCACCTCCGTGCCCAAACGTCTTTGTTTGGGCTTCCGAAAGTGGATGATATCAGGAAACAGTGGTTGCAATTTATTTTTTAACTCTGCTCCTGAGCATTATAACCACAATTTGCTATTGTGTGCTGCGCATTTTACTGAGGACAGCTTCCACAACATGAGGGAGTACAGTGCCGGATTCGCCAAAAAGCTTTTGTTGAAAGACGGAGCAAGGGGCGTGGCAGTACTGAAACACCGTCTAAGCTGTTCGCCAATCACAACGCACTGGGACAGCTAACCAATCACAACACATTTTGTTTTTCGGAAGGTGGACCTTCATCAAAGCCGGAACTAATCGAGCCGTTTGTGCCAGGCTGGGGAGAAAGGTATTTTAATAATGTAAATTATGTGAAAAATAATGCGTTTTTCGAACCACCAAGCATGAGAGCATGTTCTAGTACACCCCCAAAACAAAATCAAGACTTTGTAAAAGAGCATAATAGGACCCCTTTAAGCAATACATGACTTAAATGAGAAAATGTAAGCAATAGTTGACCCAAAAATGATAACGTGTCATTATTTTATGCTAATATCATTTACAGATAATTTCAAGCCCATATGATGTTCTTTGTTCCTTGAAACACAAAAAGAGAAACTTTGACTCTTGTCCACACCCTAAAATCTCAAGAGCGGCAGTAGTTACCTGTGGCCTTTAGTCGGGGTTTAGGAGATTTCTTGTCCTTCTTCTCCACTCTCCTTCCTCCTCTCGGCACTACTTTTTTGCCTTTCTTTTTGGAGTGCCCATAGTCGCTGTCATCATCATCATCAACCATGAAGTCTTCATCACTGCCTGACTCTTCTGCAACAGAGAAAATTGTAATATACGGGTGTTCAAGTCAAAAGAGACTGTTCATTTGTTTTATTTTTTGCCAGGCCAAAACCATTAGCAACTATAAGCAATGTTAATAATAATAATGCTTAATCAAAGTGACAAACATATTTAACAACACAGTTAAAAACTAGCACACTTACGGTCCAGGTATGCCTGCTTTTCCTCATCCTTTTCCTCATCCTCACTGCCTCCGTCTCCCAGAAGGATTTCTCTCTGTTTGGACACGGCCTTTGACGCAGCCTGCCTCACCTGCCTCGGTTTCCTGCTCACCTCTTTTTCATCATCATCACTGTCATCTGCAGAGGAATCACAAGTGTCATGCACAACAGATGCACCCATATTTTCATTCATGCTTCATTTCATTTGCATCTATTTTCAGGCATGCACTCCTAAACTGTGATCGTTTTATATATTGATCACATGATCTTATTCTGTCTTAATGGGCAGTTCTTGCCCAAAATAGGACTAGACTTTATGCTGATAGTTTAATGTCTGGTGCTTCATGTTTAATGCATTTTTTGTCGATCCACGACTCACCTCCACCTCGTTTCCTCTTCAGTGACTTTTTGCCTGGCTTCTCTGCCTTTCCTTTCTTTCCCTTTTTGGCCTTTTTGTCATCATAGTCACTTCCTCCATCTTCGTCTTCCTTTTTCTCTCCAAAGTCGTTGTCTTCATCACTACCGAAATCATCTGTAAAACACAAAATTAGAGAGTAATCGTCTTTTTATAAATCAATAATTAATCTACGGTAGATGAAACTAACGCAATTCACCTGCTGAATCATTTTTGGATTTGGAGAGTTTGTCATCTGAATCCTCGCTGTAAGACAACAGAAAAGGAACGTTAGTACTTTGATCTTAGAAGGAAAATGTCCTAGTGTGTGGTATTTATTTCCTAGTTATAATTAACTGCCGCATATGTGGGTCATAAGGAGAAAATGGATCTCAAAAAGGTTTACGTTCCCCAGAGATCCGAACACATGCGAAACCAGTCGTGAAATTCACTCGTTCGCACCATTTGGTACATATTAAATCATTTAAAATGCATTATTCTGATACTATTTGTTGAAGTACTAAAACTAGACAGATTCTTGCCTGTCTTCCTGCGAATTCTTAGACTTCTTGTGCTTGATTTCACGAGGTGGAGCACGTATCTTCTTAGTTGTTTCCTTTTCTCTCCCATAGTCCTCATCTGGAGGCAAAAACGAAGACAGATTGAACCAAGTACACAATAGCACAAACTGATTACCTAAAACAGTTTTGAATTGCTTATATAGAAGAATGTTTATATGCCAATATTGAGTAAACATGCAAAGAGTACTGCTGACATACATTAATACTTTTCTGAAAGCTTAAACAATGGATTTGAGAGATGGTTTATTACCTGCATCGTCAGATTCGTTGAACTGGGAGTAATTCACCACCTTTCTGTTCCTGTAAGAGAGACAACATACTGTAACGAGAGTTTCCAAGCACACATTTGTGATGCAGCGGTGCATGTGGCGTTAATTCACGTTTTAAGGGCTTACAGACCATCGGAAGGTGGTCAGCATTTCTTCAGGAAACTAAAGCTCATTTAACATGCCTCGCTTCATTATGTTTACTTGAATTAATGATCGTTAAACAGTTCCTTAATTAGCATTTCAATAAGGGTTTCATTAATACTGCAGTCTTGTCCCATTTAACCACTCAGGCCACTCAACACGACATGCTTGAAGAGCCACAAGTTACTTCTAAGTAATTAGATGGATCACAAGACTTTTTGGATTATAATTTAC